GAACCACTGGCAGTTCAGAGATTGAGGGTTTAAAGTAACTAATGTGCTTAAGGATTGAGCCGAACAGAAACAGGCTTACTCAAATGCTTAACCGAGTTGTTAGAAATACGCAAGGCTAACAGGAAAGGAAAAAGAAATGTTGGGTTGTCTCCTTTTCATTTCATGGTTGGATTCTGGGCTGCATTTTATTCCCATTGGTACTGCAGCTTTACTGCTAATGGCGGAGTTACTCCACAGTGAGAGTTGGGTATCAGGTGAGTGAAGAGCTGGGTCAGTATTTTTAGGAATACGTCTTCCACCTTTAGCATCTAAAGAGGGTTAAGAAACTTAATGGACAGAGGAGATTGATTAAAGTCTCCATCCACTGTGCTGGACCATTTTGACTGTGACCTGCAAACTGTTCCCAAAAATGTAAACTTGTGTCATTCACTGAACTTTGCCAAGTCATCCAGAAGAGTACTGGATACTTGTATTTAATATTTCAGGTAAGTATTATGTATTAACTCTACCAGATTAAGGAAAACATGTTCACATGATATTATGCATTACAGGCAGACAGAGCATATAACTAATTCTTTCAGGAATAAATTACTCCCTGTAAGTGATGAGTGCCAAGAGGGGTCTTTCAATGCTTCTGGAGAACATGCTTTAAAAATCTATGCAGATAGGATAAAAAGCTTATCTTCTGACTGAAAGCACTGCCCCACTACTGTCCATATAACATTATCATTTTCAAAAAGGACACTCACAATTCTAAAAGTAAAATTGACATGCACTTGCAGTAAACATACAGATATTTTTTACCATTGTCTCACATATGAAAAATAGTTTAAATGACTTAAGAGTAGAGTATTCTTACACTACATTGGTAAAGCATTTACTATATAAGTTTTACTACAAGACACATACAGCTACTAGAAAGCTACTTTGAGCCACACAGGAATCATCAACAGCTTATCACACATACATGACACTTCTCCCTTTCGCACAAGTTTATATACACTGAGTAAGTCATTAAATATTGCACTTATTGGCCCATGATCCCTCAGTTCTGAGGTATTCAAAAAATAGAAAACATATCTATTTTTATAACACAGTTTCATGCAACATTTAAGACATTTCAGTTCCACAAACACTAGCAGCATATGTTACGCATTCTGACAGTCCGACTGAAGCACGACATATCTGACATTATTGACAAAATATTAAATGAGAATTACAGCACAAACATATTTCATTTAACACCAGTTGCAGGTACATGTCAGGATTACTCAAGGAAATTTATCACCAAAAGTAGTAAACAATCCCTAGCTTTTATTTCTGCATGTTACGCATGATCCTGAAGCTATGGGAAGATTAGGGTTTATGCTTCTCTCCCCTTCCCATCCCTTCCCCTAAATCAAAAGCAGGTACCTTAGGCTATAAATGACATGCCATTTATGCCTGCTGGAGCTATGGATGATAATAATCCTACAATCTGCAAAGTGAACCCAGCTGATCTCTGGTGCTAATGAGACTTTCTGTTTAAATTCCGCTGTGGGACTTAGGGAAGGCTTCACTGAGCATGAACAAGTAGCAGTGGGAACTGAATGAGTGTCAAAGATGTACTGTTCTATATGCATACTATTTATGTGCAGTTGTAGATGCTGCTTAAGTTAGCACCCATGTATAAACAAAGATTAAAAAAAAAGAAGAAATATTTTAAAATAACAACTTAATAAAGAAAACTGACCCCAAAAATTGAATTTGAAAACTGAGTTGCCTCTTGAATTGAGACCCAACAGATGACGAGCCTTTGAGAATTTGGAGTCAAACCATACTGAAGAGACTGTGTACAGATTAAGTGGTGCAAATCAAGAAAATCCACACCTCTGTTTGCACAAGTGAAGGTATGTTGCTTTAATCCCTATGAGGATTTTTCATCCTTGTAGTTTTACATCACAAAAATCACAAAATGAGTCTTGCTGAAGAGGAACTTGGCTTGTATGCTGTATGTCTGCATGTGGAACAGGCCAAGAGGTAATCTGTCTTAATAGCAGAACAGTTATTTATTTAGTCGATGCCCTTAAAAATGACAGTTATAGACTTGTCTCTCACAAGTGAATGCAATAAAAAGTAGTTTCGGAGGAGATTGACTTTTGAAGTTTTGGGGTCTCTTTTGAATTGCAAGTACAGCATCATTTGTCTGCTATTGAAGAAGCAAAGCTGTCCTCCAGATATAGGATTTGTACCATCATTTTTTCCCCTAAAAAAAGATAATTGAACTCAAAGCATTCTCAAAGTCAGGATCAAACTCCAGCAGACTTTGCGTACCATAAAATAGCACTTCATTCCTAAAATAAAGAAGGTGCGGGTAGTACGGCTGGATATACAGAGCTGAGGAGACTGGGAAGAAAACCTAATTTTTCAGGCTGATGCTTTGGAAAGGCCACATAGATGTAGTTGCTCAGGTAGTTTCTCTATGCATACATTAAGGATAAGCACAAAGGAACAAACAGTCCCAGCTAACAGTCACGTACACAGGGGTTCAGAGAGTATATTTTGACAGAAGATCAGGCTAGCTCGTAGGTATTTCAAACACCACCAATCAGGTCAAAGTAAATCAAACCACAATAAAGAACCGAGGGAGAAGCATGTTACTTGGGCTGTAAGGAGCAACCACTTGTGCAGATGAGCTCCCGTCGGAACAGCCAACATGCACGTGCAGGCTCCACTCCGCAGGCTTGCGGCTGATGGGGCAGCTCTGCCGGCGCCAGCGCTCCTGGCGCTTCGCGGGAATTTCTTCTGCACCAAGCGTCTCATGCAGCAAGCAGGACACTGTCAGAGCATGACAAGGCTGGTGTATTAGCCATGCACCATAGTAGCCTGCCACTAATAGCGTTTATTAGCCTAGATCGTAACTCAGAAAATGGGTTGTGCAGTATTAGTTCAGCTGGCACTATGGAGCTCAGGACCCTCTGCCAGGAGGTGCCTAGTCCCTCAGAAATTTGCTGTGCTCTATGTCTCACCTGCTGTCCCAGACCAAACCTCAGCTGAAGTGGCTACCTGTGGCTGCCTCCCGTGATATTCAGCCCTATATCTGCGCTGAAAGGGACAACAAATGGATGCAAAGCCAAAGCATACTGGGTTTTATAATGGGAGTGCTGGGTTTTATCATGGGAGAAAATAGTTTTGAATGTATTATAGTCAATTTAATGATCCAGCCTGCTTGTATCACTACAATAAGTCTTTTGCTAGTCTGAATCTTGCTCTTGACAGAGCTGTGCTACAACTGTGTTTAGATCAGGGATCCTACCAAATCCTGCTTCTGTCTTCTTCAGTGACTAGCTTAGAGGCAGTGGCTATGAGATATGTGTGACTGCATGGTTAAATCTTGAGCTTGATCAGGTTGGGATGGGATTACTGAAAGGGTTCAATATCAGGCTAACCCTGTTTTCAATCAAGAAAATTGCTGTTCTATCACAGAAGTCAGCAGAAACAGAATTAGGCCAAGACATAATTCAAATTATTTAAAGTACAATTGAAAATCCCAGTCCTGCTGTTTTCCCAGAACTCACACTAAAGTTTTAGAGTGTTTGGGGAAGTGACAATAAATTGCTTCCAAAAGACTGGGGTTCTGGGGCTTCCCTACAATAGCCAGTTCCAGCTGAGAACTGAGTACTAAGATCATGATTCTTCTTGTCTAAATCTGACCAAAATCTATAGCAAAAATCCTGGGACTGCTGTGAAGCACATGACTGCAAAATCCAACTTTTCAACCTATTCAAGCCTGTCTTCCTTTCATTTTTTGGTGTTGCAGACATTTTTTTGTGTTGAGAAATGTCAACCTAGTCTAAAGCCAGTCTAATAGAAATAACAACACAGTTAATGCTTTCTTAATTATACCCTTTAGTTAAAAAATGTCACCGTGACTCAAATAATGCAGTATACCACAGGGCAAAGATGTAAGAATCTGCTGCTAATTATTAGTGAGCACTTTTTAGCATTGTGACATATGAATATTTTTAACAGTTGTCTTCATAACCTTTTCCTGATTTTATTCAGTTTAACTCCATAAATGTTGACAACTATTTATTACTCCTAAAACTTTAAAATATCTTGTGAATTTCTGATTGTCTTGTCAAAAAACAGATATCCTCAGCAAAGTAAAAATGAGGTCAAATTCCAACTCACTGATATCAGCAGCATCTCTATGATGGGTCTGAGCTGAAATATGGGCCTTTGTAGTGTAGCAATGGTGCTCAGTGACTGAATGGAAGATGAAATTCCTAAAAGCTTAAAAATGCAGATTTGCAGGAACATGACAAGAAAGTTTTTGGCTATTAGTATAATATGAGGGCTTTGTCAGAGATGATAGCAGAACTTTATGCAGGTAGACTTGAAAAGAGCTAGTCAGCCCTCCTCAACTGAGGCAGGTCTCGGCAGTTCTCTCAGATGAAGGATTCAGAAATTAAGTCCAGTTTCAGAAAGATATTAGGCATGCAGTTCCCAAGGAAATGTAAATATAGTACAGGATGAAATACCTACTATCTCTGAGGATCTGGAATGAACACCCTTACTTAGCTGGGAACTTGCAGGGGTATTCTTTGCTGTAAATCTGGAGGCTTTGGGTCCAGAAAGGCTGGAGGTTTGTCCTTCCTACCCTCTGCAATTTTGAAGCAGCCATGGTGTGTATCTTAAGTGAGCCCAGGTTTGCCAAGGCATTATGCTGCAGGAAATGTCCCTTGTACAAATGATCTAGACAGAATGAGTGATTAGCTCGCTACAGCAATATTTCTAAATTGATTTTCAGTCAGGAAAAATTATAAATGGCTTCAGGAAGCTTATTCTGAAACACACTGGCCACTACCACAAGGATTCAAGCATATAATCTGAAACTGATGAAGCAGGAATCAGTTCTAGGCAAATGTGGTCTGAGGACATGGCACCAGCTGAAGCAAGTACAATGTAAAACAATAAAAAGAGAAACTTATAACCATTGGCTCCTTTAACAGCCACAGTTGGGTTGCTGTGGAGGAGGGGTGTCCTTTAGCCATGTGCTCTGCTTGACGGCGGCAATGGTGGGATCTGTCTCCAGGCTTTCCGACATTTTGTCACAGATGATATCCACGAGTTGCTCAAATGTCTGCTTGACGTTAATGTTGTCCTTGGCACTTGTTTCAAAAAATTCAAAACCTAATAAAATAAAAAACATGTTGGTTGGATACATATTCCAATCTCTCCAATAAATACGCAAATCTCTCCTGGGGTCGAAAGAATGGGGAGAGACTCAGAAAGTAAACATGGAAAAACACACACGATATTGCAAGAGCAGTTACATTTGCAAAACAATCAGAGAAACTACATTAGAGCTATTTTCTTCCAGCTAAAATCATGATTGGCCCCAAAACATATTCTACTGTTGAAATGGTTTCATAATAAAATTGACGTTAGCTTGAGAGTACTGTTATGTTTGAAATGCCCTATATGTTCAGCCGTTGTGAAAGAACAATTCACTGTTTTCCATTTCTATTAGGTCCCACTAAGCATTATTCTACTGGAAATAGCCATTTCCATGGTGTCATTAACTGGGTGCCAAAGTAGAAAATGGCATGTGGAAACAACCAGGTGAGAAAAGCAAACAAGGCAAGGAAAGAATTCTGCAGTGTGGGCTCTATGCAGAATACAGGAAAATCTGTTGGGACAAAGGCACACTCCCCCAAGCCAAAACAGTATATAAATAAATAAGCAAACATACATATTCTTTCCTCCTTAGTTCAATTATATAGAGGGACTTTTTCATCAATTTGAGTACTATTGGAAAGGGAAAAATTAGAGTCTGCAGGGGCTGGGCAGGCAGCTTGCTGTTGGGCCTGCAATCCCCCTGCTTTCTGCCCATGCTGGAGCTTCCCCTCCTACTGCTACTTCTGCACCTCCTGTCTTCTTCTGCTTATTTGTTTTTTAAGTCTTTTCTCCTATGCTCTGCCTTTTCCCACTGTTACCACATTGCTCTCACCTGAGGGTTCCTTGGCAATTTAAGACTTTCTGGTAATTCTGTCTTTCTAGTGCCTAAGAGAGATATTAAGATTTACAAAACAGCTAATCCACTGGTAATCTTACAGAAGCAGCTGAGCATCTGCAGAACTATTTTGATTCTTTCTGATTAGTGCCGTATAACAATGTACAACTACCATGGTAGTTTGTTATGAGGAAAATCACAGTCAGAAAATGTCAGTCATATCAAACTCTTGCCAGTAAGGGTGAAAAAGGGAGAAAACTTTTTTTTTCCTGTTTGTTTTGGGGTTTTTTTTTTGCATATGGTGTGTGTTTTCTAGTGAATGGGCTAATCTATTATTTCAGAAGGCCACTTAAAAATTAAATGCAACTACTTAGATAGCACTAATACCAAGTGTTCAGTATGCCCTCTAAATAAGATATAATATGCACATTTAATCCAATGTGCAATTTTAATGAATAGCTTTTGCATGTTTGAATATTAGTGTAGATTTACAGTAGATAATTATATTTAGCTTGGCATGATATCCCAGTGCATGCTAATAACCAGTGCAAAAACTTTCTTCTCTGTTCTAAATATCCTTAATATTTTTAATTTACATGAAGTGCCTTGTGCTGAAATGCCACAAACTGCTAAATTGTTTAATAGCATAGGAACTAACTGCAAGCCAAAGTTAGTGTTTGTAGTTGGTTTAGATAATAAACCCTTAGAGATACTAACATTGTGAAAGGATTTATTCATGCAACTTCCATTCATGCTGATGTGAGGTTAACCCTCCAGGATTGAAAACTTCTCCTTTCTGCATGAGTCTGGGAAGCTGGAAGAACATACATGTGCAGTTACTCACCGTCTATTCAAAGTCTGTGCCCACAGCTCTGCCTGCTAAGCCTGTGCCACAATAGAGATCGCAATATATCACACAGACCACAGATGAAAGGAACCATGAAATTCATGCCATCTGTGAGTCATTCTTTTTATACTCTGTGAGTAATGTAGGCGGGTAAGTAAACACGCACTTTTACTTGCAAGAAATTCCAAACTTTTTTTACTAAAATGCTTTAGAGTACATAAGTGCTGACTGCGTTGGTGCTGTACTATTTTTCACTAAGCAACAAATACTTGTAGATCTCAAAGCAAAAATTTATGAAGTGACAGAATGGCGTATAAATTATGTTCCACACCATACTTTGTAGTGATTGGTGAATAAACTTGTTTAAATATGATGACTGTGATCCCTACATCAATATTAACATTACATTAATTGGTTCTCTCTAATGGCTGATTTGCCACATTTCTATGTTTTTTTGGTATCTCTTCGAAGTAAAGTTACATGACTCACCTGTTTTCCTCTCATTCTCATGTAACTTTTTATGATGCTACAATGTTAAATAAGCATGAATTAATTTCTCCAAAAGAATGTACTATTTACAAAAGTTACTGAATAGGGAGTCGAGGAATGGCTAAGATATGAGGTGGCTTTTGTATCTTAAACAATTAAATAGTCTGGGAACTTTCAGCCTGGAGAAAAAGAAGGGGTGTGACAGAGGTATCTAAAATCTACAGCAGGTAACAGGAAACAATTGTTCAGTATTTCTTAGATTATAAAAATTGAGAACCATAAAATGATACCAGCTAGTAGTAGATTCAAAGCAAAGGCAGAAAACTCAGAAAAACTGTGCATATTGAAAGTTTGTAGTGGATGATTTCAAAGAAATCTGTGGATAAATCCATAGGAAAACAAACAAAAAAAAAGGAAATGGTTATTGAATACGAAGATACTACCTTTGGCTTATGAGACCCCTGAACATAATTTGCTGCAGTCTGGGAAGTATCACTATATGTTCACCCTCTATCACCCTTCTCAAGACATGGGCCTGTGGCCAGTGCTATAGGTAAGGTCATTGTCATGCTCTATGTCATTAGCAGCACGCTTTGAAAAACGTTAAATGAATATGAAACAAGTTCTGTCTTCATAAACATTCTGTAGATATATGCTAAAGGTTGGATCTGATCAGGAAATTTCGCAATGTGTTCCTTGTACAGCACTCATGCATTGTGCTTGCTTATAACTGTGCCTGTAACCAACATCACACGCCGTACCATTCAAAGGGTCCACATAGACTTAAAATGTCTTGTTGGACACAAAAATCTATATTATCTATATTAAAACTTGGCTGCAAGAGATTTTAATCAACTCGCTTGCAGAGAAAGGAAAGACTATCTCAAATATTTGACACAACTCATTGCCCTTCAAACTGACCCACATGGTCAACTTACTAAAATTCAGGGAAATTTATTCTTCTGTTTTTTTCCTGCATGATCTCCCGTAATCTCTGAGCAGATTTAAGAAATCTTTGTTGACATACAAAAAGCCATACACACATGTGTGTGCGCTCTGACTACAGTAAATGGCTTACTGGATCAGAGCCAGAATACATCCAGGATAGTACCCTGTCCCTGAGAAGGCCACGGGAGATGAATCAGAGAAAGGAAACCCCCAGAGTAGGTAAAGATAGGAATACAGGATAATCTAATTCCATAGAAACTCAGTTCTAAAATCCAGGAGTTAGAATTTACTTTAAATTCAGAAACATAAATTTTAATATATCTCTCATTACGCTTTTTTTGGCTATCATTGGCTATTACAGCTGAAGATTCTTGACTGTATAACATCCAAAGTTTCTTCTCATCTGGCTGAATTCATGACCTTGGGGATTGCTTGTCAACTCACTGCATTAACCTTTCTATAGAAAAACAGCTTGGGAATTAGAAACTCAGATTAGTTATGTTAATTTAAAAGTAATTCTTCAAGATTTACTTAAAGACTTAGGAATTTCTTGAAGACATTTTAGTGCATCATTAAAATTTGGGGTCAGAATATACAGTTACAACATTTTTTATCTTGTTTTCCTTCAGTGTACCTTCCTAACTCATTTTAAAATGAATAAATATTAGAAGTGCTAACAGAGAGAAGAATAAATTATAGTATTAAACAGATAATATATATTTCTGCAAAGAAAAGTATACTCTGTTAAATTAAATGCTACAGCAACCATTTTGTTTTTATTACAAGCAGTTTAAAAAATTCAGTTATTTATCAATGTTGATAATTTACCTGGACATAACCTGCTGTCAAGTCTTTCCTGTTACTTTTCCAGAACTAATTTATGGTCACCTATGGTTATGGTTACCTATCCCCACCCTGACCTGTCCTCATGCCTTCTCTCCCCTTCTTTTTTTGTGTTTTGCAAAGCAGCACAGATGGGAGTCTTAGGAGGATTTATCTCACTGTATTAAAAACAATTCTATTTTGGTTCTGATTACATGATGAAAAAATAGTAACTAAAACATGTTGCCCCAGGTGAACTAGAGTCTGCTGCTTTTGTTTGATTTTTGACAGAGATAAGTTGCAATCAATGGAAGCTAATGGAAGTATGATTTTTCCCCTCAAAATTAAAATATCAGTTCCAAAAGGCAAGATAGACTGAAGCCTCCATTAATTGGCATTTTTATTCTGTCACTTCTAAAGCTTTCCCTCAGATTTTGAATAAGAAGAAACAGTCAAAGTTTACAAGGAAGGCAAGAACTCCTGATTGTCCTGTTTTGGACAAGCTAAATCTTAGTATCACTCACTTTTTCTTTCTCATATTTCTTTATTCCCCTCCCCCTCTTATTTTTCCCTGGCTAGAACATGTCTACATATGTTTATACTTACATAAACATATGATTTATATCTGCATGTGTATGGACAATCTTTTTTGTTTATGACAAAGTCCATAATGTGCTTTCTCTCTGAGGATCAAGATAAAGGAGGCTGTATGAAGTATGTCCTTAGTGTAACCAGCTTCTGAGCCAGCACTGATTTTGTGGGCACTTTTAGATAGCATGTCATGTTCTGCATAAGGTCATCACTGAACACATGTCCATTCTAATGATGTTATAATTTAAATGATACCAACAAGGGCAGTTTAGACCTCAGCCTGCAGAAACAAAATAGAGATGTTATATGGATGCATTTCCTTACAATGACTGTATTGTGAACATTTCACTACAAATATTGTAGCAATTATGCTGTGCATTGTTACAAGCAATCATAAAGCTTTTGCCATTGATTTTTCTTACCAAGTTGCTCTGCTAAATCCTTGCCTCTCTCAGTGAAGATTACCCGTTCATCCTCCATGTCACATTTGTTACCAACCAAAATAACCTGGGCATTATCCCAAGAGTATGTTTTGATTTGAGTTGACCTTAAGAGAGAGACAGAGAGAGACAGAGAAGTCAGAGCAAAGCAAATTTCCTTTAAATCAATTTCAAACAGAACTGTAAACTTACTGCAAACATCATCTTTGCCTTTTAACATCTTCACTCTTCCCGAGGCTAAAGGGCTTTATAAGGGCAATGTTATGTGTTTTGGATTAGTCAGAAGCCTCGGTCATTGGAAAGGTCATATATGCAAGAGATGACAAAAACTGTTTTTTTTTTAATGATCTATGTTTTGGCCTTTGTGGACAACTGTGGAAAAAAATCTATAGAAGTCATTAGTGAAAATTTATGAAAAAAACCCAGTGGTTAGCCTATTAAATTATTTGAATCTGATCTCCTCCAATTCAAGATTGGGTGGGGATATATTTGTCTCTTTTTTCACAGTCAGTCAGTTGTATTTTTGCACTACAGAGTCATTTGTAAACCATGGGCCTCTAGAATCATTAGCAAGAACAAGAACTCTTCTCTTGATACCTAAAAAAATGTTTGGAAGATGAAACATAAGCAAAACTGTAACACTAGTTGTGCAGTCTCACTGGCCTGGTGTATGTGAATAGAAATGTACCCTGTAAATCTTTCACTTTCTACTTGCATTGTAGGCAGGCAATCTACAACATGCTTGAATTTTTATAATGTATAGACACTGAAGAGGCAGATTAATGCAGCAGTGCAATGATCCATTACTTCTAGCGATCAGTGCAAGTCTTGTTCTTCCCATCCTGCAATTTTGTCATATTCCCTGATGGAGAAGAATGCTTGCTGAATGCCAACTAAAGCATTGCTATTTTCACATCTAAAACCCATGCTGTCTTCTGCAGTAATGGTTCAAAGTACTGCAAAGTTACATCAAGGAATTATCAGAGAATTTTGGACCGCTATAACAGAAGGCTCTCACAGATAATATGGAGGCTTATTTCTTTGTTTGAGGGAATGAAATAACCTGTGAAGAACTGTTCAAAAGCCAGTTTTGCAATTCTACTTTGTTTGAAATAAAACCTAAAGGAATGGAAATGTTAAACAGTTCACATTATTATCATATGCACACCATGTGCACACATTGCTTCCGTACTCCCACTCTAGCTGGTTCTCCTAGGAAATTCCATGTAATATTGTTAGTTTACAAAATATTCTTCTGAAAATATTGCTTATTACATCAATAGAGTATTACAAGATTTCATATTGCTATTCCTTCTCTGAGGACTGTTGCAGTCTCTACAAGGGCTAGTTTGCATGGGCTTTTTAGATGTAATTAAGTCACATGTACTGACAGCAAAGAATCAGCCTAATGAAAGTGCTCTAGGGGACCATGTATAATGCTTATCCCAGCAGGTTCAGGGAACATGTTATGCTTCCGATGTTCCGGTTTCAGAAAGGAGCATACGATTAACTGGAAGGCCGCATCTTGCCAGGAAATATAAATAAATAAATAAAATCAAGAAAACAATCCCCTCCCAACTCAAAACCAAAACTTTTTATTTGTCGAAGCTACTGTTGTGTTGAGCTCACTGGTTGTTCTTAAAAACTCTCTCATCTCTGTCCCCAGCATGATGCTTCAAAAGCTCCTTCATGGACTGTCAAGGGTTGAGGTGGATCCGGGTTGTCTACTCCAAAACATTTTTGCTATCTATCTAAGTCTATGTTTTGGAAGAAAGAGAGTTTCAGATAAGCATTGATGAGTTTGGAGGTTTGTCCGACAGTATGCGGTTAAACATCCTTCTTTTACTTGCAGGTGAGAGTGGTAAACCGCTAGCTTCTTTGGAGCAAGAAGGCTTGTCCTCCAGCATTTTCAGGAGCAACCATTTTAATTCTGTAATTGAGGCAATGGAGAGTGTCTTTCCCCCTTCTCCCAATCCCCCTCCTATGATGTGGGATGCTGGGATGGCAAGGGAAGCTCTACCAGTCCCGCCTTTTCAGGGAATGGGATCGTGTCAGGAACACTTTGCTCTCATTGTCTGGGGAAGGCTTGGGCAGGCTTCCCAGTTAATCTGCCTTTTCCATGGCATGTGTCTGACATCTCCCTCTTACTACCACATATCTTCTGTATTTCAGTGCATATCACACTTCCCATTTCTTCCCCCATCCCCTCCTTTATCCCCTCCTAAACCTTATTATTCCCAATGAGGTTATATTACTTAGGCCCCTCTACCTCTCTCTATGCTGCTCATCTATCACTTGGGGATATGATGGAGATGGGGCTTGTCTAGAATGACTCTATACAGAATATTAAATCCTTGTGATGTTTAATGTTGGTGGCCATTTGGGATCTCACTGTGTATCAGCTGCTCTGCACTTGGCACTGAGGCGCTGCAGCAGGGAGGGCAGGGAGAGAGGTGGCCTCAGGCCTCCCATCTGTTCTCCAGAATAATCCACTATTGGTGGGAGATGAACAATCCAAAATACATAAATCTACTAACTCACAACCCCAACTCAGCTTGCTGATTGTGATTTTGAAAACAGTGCTAGATTTTAAGAATTTGAATTGCTCAGAGTCAAAACAAGGCAGAAGTGTCCTGCTTCAAAAAGAAATTTTTCCAGATTTTAGTTGAACTTACTAGCAGCTGGGGGATTTCATAGCTCTAAGAGAATAAATTCTGAGAAACAGCTCAGAATCTTTCCTCCTGCAACTACTGACAAGGAAAATGTGGATACCTATGACTCAAACACAAATCATTGCAACACTAATGTTTGATTATTCTGGCATGTTCCAGCCAAGGGGCAAATATGCTCAATGATTATGACTAATACAAATTCTTTGACAGCCTGCCTTCGTGAACCCCTTTAAAATTACTGAAGCACTTAGTGAAAGCCATGAAAATCAATTAATACTGGAAATAATTATCATAATAGAAAGTTGAGGTAGATGAATCTGTGATTGTAATGGGGTACTGGGCAGAAGTATGCCCTTCTCTTAGAGGAAGCTAGTATATCTCTGCTTTTATTTAGAATAGATAATTGCATATTGAATTTGCTACTGATTTTCTGTGGTGGTACCAGGCACTTGATAACTTAATGTGCTTGTTGACATATGATAGAAAACAGGCTAATGTGTCCCAGTGAAATAGGAGATTTGGACATGATTATAATATATATTATAATTATATATATATATTTGTTCTCAATACCAAACAGCTGCAAGGGAAAAGGATCCAGAGAGAAGTGGATGTAACAGCAAAAATGGAATATACTAACTCCTTTACTCTTGCAACAAACTTGGATACAGGAATAATGGCCAGGACTGACAGGATTTGGTCTGTCAGGTATTAGTTAAACATCATTGTAGTTTCTTTCTGGATTAAATGGCAAATGGCTTATGGTTTTAAAATAAGCCAATATTTAAGAAACCAGAAGAAAAGCAATGACTCATCACTTCATTCTGACAAGCTTTATCTTCCTTGTGCAGAATCTACGTGTGCACACCTTGCAGTGAAAGGCTGCCCGTTTAACCCTCCTTCCCTTGCAGGAAGATAAATCAATGATGCAGAAACTGTGTGATGAATGGCACTGACAGAGTTCAGTTCATTTTCAGACAGCAGACTAATCAAAATGAGCATTACACTGAACAGCACAGGTTTTTTATGTTTTAGTAGGAACTGAGTCTGCTTTAGGGAGAATAAATTTATTTTTGCCAGTGAGCAAAGCAGAAAAGCAATATTAACAAAAACCTCACTACAAGTTTCTGAGGTCCTAACTTTGTTTAGAAAACCACACATCACATTTCAGCTTTCATAGGTCATAATGAGGGTCAAATTGTATTTCCAGATCTTTTGTTGGGTAAAACTGAGCTAATCTCCCAATCTATTAGATTTTTATGGAAGAAGATGTCACTTATTTTGCACAAATTATAGCTACCACTCCTCCAAAAAGAGGACAAGGAAATATGGAAGGCCCGATACTGTTTATGCTTTTATTGTTTATGTTTTTAATATTACCTTATTCTTAGGTAAGTATCTTGGTGACAATCCAATATAGTTGTGTGGGAGAAGTGCTAGCGCTAGTTCAGCAATGTCTACTACTGAGAATACCCTGGATCTGTATTTAATACAACACAGTAAGAACTGACATGTCATTGGTTGTTAAATATTTAATTCCGTGTGCTGCCTGTGATGGCAAATAGGTATCACAGAACTTGCTCAATCAGAATGTTTCTTTTTTCCTTTTAATCAACCATTACTATATATCCTTACCTTTCACAAAGAAGTGTCTTCCCATCCATAATTCACTGCCAAGTACTATATTACACTACATTTCATTTTTAGTAATGTACAAATAATTTCCTTAGTAGCTCACCAACAAGCCTTAGTGCCCTGTCTGTATAGTGCTGTTTGTTTGAAATAACAGTCTGTTGTTATCAAAAGAAGATCCATTTTTGACATTAAATTGCAAGTTCAGTGGATGCTTAGTATATGGTAACAAATGAGTATAGTGTGGGCAAGAGACATTCATGTTCAAACTGTAGTTCTTACCTATGTCTCTAGTCAAAGTTAGGATGAAGGACCAGAAGCCTGCAGGGCATACTTAATTTGTATTAAATAAATCAAGTACAGATGTCCTTAATTTCTGCATCTTTGGCACAATCTCTGCATCTTGCTTTCTTCCCAGCTGTCATCTACACCTTGAAACTACTATCCAATACCAGCATAGCAGGAGCTCAATTATGCATTTACTACATGGAAAGGAAAAAGCTTGTGCCCTAAGACAGTGCTATACTCTCTATCCCTCCTCCTCAGTGAGGCCTGAGCACTAACGGCCATCTCTTTAGAAGAAGAGCCCACCAGGTCCAGTCTTCTCCTGTACCTTGTGTGGACAGCACTCTTCAGCTGGCACTTAAGTAATCGTGAAGAAAGGAACAGCCATAGACAAAGTCCCAACATGTCATCCTGACATCCTCAGACTCTGTAGCCTTCATGTCACCAAAGGAGCAGGACAGAGTTGTCACATGAACACTTCTGACCTATAGCGGGGCAAGATGGACTTTGGCTGCAAGTGGGCAGAATTAATAATAGACTGCAAATTCCCTGTCAAAGTCAATTGTACTTCTTCCCTTTTCTGATATGAATTTTGTATTTCCTTTCCATGCCTTTTGCTTGCTAAAAGCTTACACAGACAATAGGGGAGATGCAATAAGGACTTTGATAGACTTAAAAGTCAGAGAGACCTTTCAACTTACTTTACATTTTTGGTCATGATAAAACTATATAAAATACACTTCCAGATTGATATATTATTCACAGAAGTACAAAATCTTCTCCTATAACAAGGTTTACTTATAAGTAGACCAACTAATATGCCACATTTTTCACAGTAGGACATAGTAACAGTACATATTAATGAATAATTTTTATGTCATGTATAATGCCACAAGATGTGTCATACTGTGGAAAGCAATTTAGTAACTCACCATACAGACAAAAGGCTGTACATTTTAATTTTCTCCCCACTGAGAAAACCCCCATTAAATTATCATCCTTCAAGGCTCCTACTAGACATGCACAGTGCACACAATCATCAAAGATTAGGGTATAAAAGCATACAGAAAAAAGTATTTACAAGGAAAATAGTATTCATGGAAACAATAAAAAGCAAAATACAGCCTGCACTCACAGATCTTTTGACTATCCCCATGGTTTCATGTCTCAGATACTTCCAAATAAAGGATCCTGTTAATCACCAATTAATGTTGATTGCACAGCCTGTCTTTGGAAGTCTGAGTAATGACCCTACTCAATACAGCTGATCCAGCTCTTCTCTCATATTTCTTTCCAGCTGTGAATAATGATGGAATGGAATATAGGATACATTTACTAAAGCAACTACATTGTCTGTTTGAGTGTATTGCATTTTAAAATAAATGAGCAATTTGATATTACTTTAAAACGTACATTTGGTTACTATTTTGTATTCATGTATATCAGGAAACACATGCAGAAACACATGTATCTCTCCTCAGATTTGTTATTTTTCTCTCTTGCGGTGATGTGATTTTAATATAAAATGAAATTTAAAAAAGGATATTAAAGTGAGGAATCTTGAAGCTGAGCTGCTCATCTTGGTCATACACACTTGGATCCAATATTTCCCACTTTCTCTGTATCAGCAGCCTTTAACCTTGTACTACAAGGCAGCCCAGTAGCCCTTAACCTTTGACTAAATTATTCTGCTGAAAAGCCCTTCCTGTGCTTGTGGTGGGTATTTTAGCCTTCCTACTTCAGACCCACGGAGCACCAGCACAGCAACAGTATTCTGGTGATACCAAAGTTTTTATAGACACAGCACAGTAAAGTGTGCATTTACTGGGGTCACACAGGGTGATTTATTTTTCTTTTGTACTTTTTTAATATCAGATTCATATTTCCAATGTATTGTCTTCCCGTCAAAATTTCCTCCACATCAAGTACTTGGCAACAAGTCTCTATTTTAGGGAACTCCTCAGCAAACAGTTCTCCTGAATTCTGTATTGATGTTGACTTTTTTACTGTCATACGTTGCACAGACTCTTTCATATATACCCTGGGCTCATATGCACATGGAATGTGCTCTGAAATGCCTGTGTTAATGTTCTAATGAAGGTTAAAAAATTAGAGCTAATTTCAATCACTGAAAAAGATTACTTGGTCATCAGTGCCACCTGTGATATATTATCACATGCTTTCTCTGTAAGGATTCATCCCAGCTTGCAAGCCATTTGGCAGTGCTATCATGAGTCATTACACCTTTTGTTGATAAGAAAGATATATGAGTGTTTTACTATAACATTTTTATATGACTTTTGCAATGGTACATTTTATATCAGAGCTGCTATAAATTCTACCAACAATTTTGTCTTTAAAGTTGCATATATTTTCCCCCTGGAGGCAGAACAAAGGAATCTTTCCAAATTATATTTGAACCCTGAAGGCATAAAAGTGT